GGGGTCTAGAGGACTTCGTTGTCTCTTCATTATAAGCCTCAAGCTGGATATGAAAGGGTCTGATGATATAAGAAGCCTATTAAGTAGGTCGGTGTTGGTGTCTATTCGTGACGTTTTTCTAGTAAAGAATTCCCTATATCTTCGATTATCTTTGTTTCTAGCTTCTTGTGCCTCTTCCGATAACTGGCCAATGGGTAAAATACACGAAGCTATGACATCACGGCCATGAAATAAAACTTTGTGCACACTTACTGGCATGTTATACCATGAGTATTCCCTAAGATATAGGTTTCTGGTTTCTTCTGTGTAACTATTGAAGGACTCTAAATCGACTGTAAAACCAGACCCAAGAGTTTCTAAAATGATATGAAACCTCGTTATTAATTCTAAATATATTCCGGTAACATCAGCAGTTATTGTGGCACTTCTGAAAAATCGGCGTGCTGTGTTGCCATCATTGGTATTACCAGCTTGCTGAGTTGGTAAATCTACTAATAAACCTAATTCATTTTTGAACCGTGTTTGTATATGTATCTTCCTTGCCTTAACCTTATCTTTATTTTTGTTGACCTCTAGCTTGCCACATTTTTATATCAAGTCTCTGTAGGCGATTTTTATCACAACATTCTACAAAACTTTTGTGTAGTCTTCCTGGTGAATGGCCAGATGTAGATGGTATTTCATTTAAAACATTTTCTGGTAATGTAATGCATTCATTCAACTAAGTCATATTCTTGCTTAAAAAGCGATCACGATGTCTACCGCTAGCTGTCCATATTTCGTTAAATTTGTTACATAACCTCCTTAAAAAGAACTTAATTTCATTTATAGCACATTCAGAAAATTGTACATGAGGGTAATTATTTATTATTAAAGCAAAAATAGAATCAATTCGCTCCTTTTTTGCATTTGAGGTCCAAATATCAAAAATTTGTTTTTTTGTAATTTCGGTCGTCATTCTGAAAACCGAAAAAAAATGTATGACGGTCGCACAAAATCGCAAGTTTTAGCAATTGTTCTCAAAATGTAAGACTCTAAACTATACATTAAAACAATAACAGCACCGGGATATTCAGATCATTTTTTTTTATACACCCTTTTGTTTTGCAAATCGTCTCTAGAAAATGCTTAATTTAACTGTGCTTTCAAATGATGTTATGAGATCAATGTTTAACTATTACTTAAACAAAATACACTCTAACTTACCTTGAAAGGTATACACAATACAATAATAAACCAATAAACAAGACTATACGTTAATTTGATCAGTAATCTCAAGTGAAGATGAGACTTTAATATTGTTGTTTGTATTGTAAAGGTTCAACGATTATTATCCACCCACTTCAACATTTTATTTGAATTTTTTTAACATACCTACAAGAATTTCTAATAGGTAGCTGTGTTAAATACGGTCTTAGGTATAAATAGGTAGTAACTATAATAACATTTACGACAAAAAATATTTTCATTTAAATCCCCCTAGATTGCGGGATTCTCACACTGTGCGTCGTAGCGAAGATACAGGGTCATCGACCTAGCGAAGTTCTTCCGATACCGTGCGAGTAGAAAATCGTTAAACATTGTAAGGTTTTTACATCTATATGTGTATATATATCATACAAAGTGTGGGAGAGCCATGCTTTGGCACGAATGGCCCAGCTCGACCGGAGTGATACCACGACCTCACAGAAAACCGACCTGAAACAATGCTTGCGTAGTGTTTCGTCATGTGAGTGAGGTTACCGGTGGCCCAATTACCCCCCTTCCGCCTTCTCCCAATCTCTTCAATCCCTGAATACCCAACAACCCTCAAAAGGCCGATAACGTACGTGTAACGCCTCTAGTGTTCCAGGTGTCCATGGGCGACGCCGATTGCTTACCATCAGGCGATCCGTCTGCTCGTTCACCGGCTTATTCCATTATAAATATATATAGAATTACCGTACGGTGATGGTAGAATACATTTGGCACATCTCTGCCCTTTCCACTGTTGTCTGAAGAGCCGACTACACATGTACATATTTCTTTAGCACAACCGGGCCGCAGGCAGTGCTCTCTTTTAAACCCAAACCCAGTTATTCTCAGTGTATATTGCAATTTCCATCTCACCTGCTATGCATATAGATTAAATACTATGAAACCTTATAAAAATCTTAGTTGATTAGTGGACATTCTCAGACATAATTTAGGTATTGAATCCTGTAACAAAGATAGCGTTCAAAACAACGCAGCTATTTTAAATGGAATCACTGAAACAAATGAAGTCAGTTAGGTAATGAATGAAAAAAAAATCAAAGAAAGTACTTATAGTACAATTCTAGTACACCCACGCGTTATAAGAATTATTGAGAAATTGGATTTTGTTTTCATTATTTCATTCATAATCGCCCACGCTGCTTGAGACTTCGCGTTTTAATTGATGATTTTAAGAAAGGCTTACATAAAGTTCAGCTATTGTTTCTTCGTTGGTTACTTTGTCTTATAGTTAACTAGCACTTATTTTTGGATGAACCTGCGCAAAATTAATATTACGGAATATCTTAATAATCCGCCTACGATCTTTTCTTAAAGTTCGTTAAACAATCAAGTTTGGTCGAAAATCTGTTTTGTGTCATGACAAAATATTACGTCAAGCTCATCTTTTATTGATTGCGTCATCAAACGTGATTTAAGTAAGATTCCGTGAGAAAATCACAGTATCTGCATAAGTTTATTAACTGACCACGGTTCCATTGTGACATTTTTAGAGCGCCTTGACATTCTTAGAGCGAGAAGAAGTAAACAATTTCAAAAACAATTTCACAACATCAAAGTCTTAATTTAATAACCCCTACAATAAATTCTTATTTAATTAACATTTCAATTCATTTACGAAAATCAGAATGCGATCAAAACAATGTTGCAACATCGCCCCTTGGTACGGACAAATGAAACCACCGTGCGGTTTCGCCTGGAACACCATTAGGGCTCAATCTAAACTCGGCGCTTTCACGACTTCGACGTTAAGTTCAAAATTAGCAATTTACAGTTCAGTTCAGGTTAGTACATAAACAATGTTGCAAACAGAAGCTAATTTACTTACTGTTTACAATAGAAGTAGTAGTATATTATACGTATTTGTTATATGTCTGATACTCTGTACGGATAGGGATGATGATACAATACTTAGATAAAAGTTTAGGAGTGGGAGGTAGCTACGCCATTTTAGAGTATAAATCGTACTCAATAGTGACGTCATGCGATATTTCAAATCAATATATCTTCGAAACTATTCGTTTCCGTAAAAAATACATATCTACTGATTTTAAAAATTCTACCAGACGGACATTAAAATAAAAATTTGTTATGTACCCCATTGGCAGATGTACATACCTATATATTGTAGTAGTTTGTTGTTCAATTTCGTACGTTAGCAATACAGGCACATATATGTAACTGTCTCATTGTTCGGAGCGATAACGGGATCATAGCGCGGCCAACATTTATTAATAAAATTATTATTATTATTCAAAGTTTCGTGTCGTTCGATAGGTGGCCTTAATATCGAGATAGATCGCGCTATGGTTTCGTTACATTAGGTTTTATTTACAATTTGGTTAGGTTCCTCGTTAAATGTGACGTTGTCGAGTACAACCAGCGGCCCTAGCAGGAAAAAAGAAGTGAAGGAACAGTGGCGTTTGTGTTGTTTCTCCAAATCCTTCGGAAACCGACCCTCTGTCTTCTACACTCATAATACCATACATCTAATTTGCGTTTGTTTCGGCGTTTCTTCTCAGAGTAGTCAATTAAAAAATTTGCCCTCATCTAGTAATTTAAAGATTGACGAGTAAAAGTATTACTTTGTAACCTATTTGCCGAAATAAATACCATTTCATTTAATTTCACCTCAATGTTTTAATAGTTTTCTAAATTAATTATCAATAGGACTTCTCAAAATCGATTACAAAATACTATAAACTATTTATTCACCTTTTCCTTCTTACGCTTCCGAAGTCACACTACATTTTCGCAATAAAATATTTATCAATATACTTGAATGTATTTCTCATCACTTTACACGTGATCACGTGTGTACGTGTTTCCCCCTTACAGTCTGTTAAGAGCTATAAAAACTGCATTGAAAGATGCATGATGCTCGTAAATGATGGCCTCAACCTTCCAATAAAGTTAAGAGGTGAAATATATCTTTAATTTCATTCGATATACATTGATATTCAGAAAATTTAACTTATTTTTTAAGGAAAAGAATTCTCAATTGAATCTCAAACGATTAAATCAGGTTAAGCACTTTTTGTGGCCTGGGAGAATATTCCAGATTCTTTTTGAGGTTGAAATGTATCTGTGGGTCTAAAATTGATTTAATAATAAAGGAAACAGTGTTCTTATCGAATAATGAGTTTCTAAGATTAAACCACATAAGATACTTTTATGACTGTCTCATGAGTTTTAGGTTGATATGAAAGGGTGTTTGCAATGATCCTGAATTCAGCGCAAGGTACTTTATGAATATGTATGACTTGTCTTTAATGTTTATCATTTTACTCAAGATCTTTATTTTATTAAAGTTTTATTAAATCGGTACTTTTACGTGAATCCGGTTTAAACTGTCAAATACCAAGCGGTCACCGGTGACCGCAACCTATTGTTCTATAATTGTGTCTACAAAACCGGTACTCGACGAGTTAAGAATTTATCTTACTAATTAGGTACAAATAAAATGATGAAATTCGGCTTTATTTGTTTGATATTCGCTCAATCACTTTTGTCGCTACTTAAATACGTAAGACTTAGTCTGTCTGCAACCATTTAATTTTAATTAACGGCATCGTTAAACAAAACTTTAAGTTTGGAGTAAATAAAAATCTCGTTTATTCCAGTGCATCCACTGTATTTTAACTCGTCGAGTACCGGTTTTGTAGACACAATTATAGAACAATAGGTTGCGGTCACCGGTGACCGCTTGGTGTTTGACAGTTTAATCATGTTTTTTTTTCTTCTAGCGTACCAGCACAAGTCTGTGGGGCGAATGGATGGGCGTGATGCATGGCGATGAGATGGAGTACGTCTTCGGGCATCCATTGAACATGTCTCTCCAGTATCACACCAGGGAGAGAGACCTGGCTGCTCACATCATGCAGTCATTCACCAGATTCGCACTGACTGGGTGAGTAAATATTGTCTAGAGAAGTTCCAATTCTGTTTGACTTGCAATTTTAGCAAACTGTTAAAACAAAATGTTTTAACTATATTTCCCAAAAAAACATGAATAGCCTCAATGTTTTCTATTGATGTATGCTAAAGTTATAATAGATACACAATTCGTTTACAGTTTTAAACACAAATTGTTCCTGTTAAAATAAGTAACGCCGGTAAAATCTGAGATCCCATTCTACTTCTAAAATAAATACTGGTAGCATTTAATCAAGTATTTAGCTCGTAGAACTAATTAGCACTTCTCCAAAGCAAATTTGTCAGTGATCAAACTGAATCAATGAATTAATTATAGAGCTATTGATTTATCAAGTTTCCCGATTCTCCCCTTGTGCCCTGAACTTCAATTTAATGGGGGTGTTAATCAGAGCTTGATTATCCTCGAGATGTAGGCCAAATTGTTCAAACTTCCCCAATACATGTTCAAATGTCAGCCTATTGAGTGTATTCTAAACTAGCTATTGCCCGCGGCTTCGTCCGTGTAGAATATGAATTTTAGAACATAACTTCTTTTTGTTCCTATTTTTCAAAATAATAACATTAGCCTATGTTATCCGTTACTACATCAGTTACCTACCAACAAAAGTCTTTTAGAATTGGTCCAGCCATTTCAGAGATCAACCAGTACAAACATACGGACGGACAAAAATTGTAAAAATATTCATATTCAGTAAAAGGCGGTTATTTTAATATTATAAACAGACAGTCCAATTTTATTTATCTGTATAGACGACAGAAACATCTATATTAAAACTCAGTCTAACTGACTATTTTAGGTCTTGAAATATTGATCTGAATTTTAAGTCGAGTTGTCTATGTCTGTACTACGACATGTGACTAGATTACGGTCTAGATAAGTAATGAGTGGAGTTTACAGTCGATAAAGATTTCTGAAACGCAAAGTACCATTGCTAATTTTCGATATTATTTACCGATTTATTTCAAACACGTGTTATGTTATATAAAAATATGTATCGTATTGAATTGAGTATAAATAAATATGTAACGTATTTATGATGAATGAATTTGGAATATAAGTTATAAGCATCACTTCCTAAGGTACTAAATTGAAGATGAGTGTTAAGTTACTTCAACAACATAATTTGAATTTGTACCCACTTACTACTAAAGTGGGTGTATTGTACACCTCTGTTCTTCCCTTAGGCGATAAAAAAGCCTAATAGTATCATCTTACACTCTTAATTCCTAAAAAAACATCCATTCACAATTTGCGTTACAACAAAGATAGAATCTATTTTTATAGATTTTCTTTTTCGTGAATAAATTGATTCTATTTTTGGCACTCGATTTGTTTGTGTTATTTCAGTATGGGCATCGAATTACCTGGTTTTTTCTTTGACAATCTTGAAGAATCGATTTTGCTGTTCACTGTCGTAACTGATATTGCTCGAGGGCCGTACAATCAGTGACATAGTTTTCCTCTAGGTACAAATGGGGGAAACTAGGTTAGGTCAGAATCTTTATTAATGTATTTTTTATAAGGCTGTCAATTTACTTGGGAACAAAGGACGTCTACTTTTAATTGGATCTGTGTTCGGGAAATGTTTACGTAGATTATTATTGACCAAGAGATTTTTACCCGGTGCTTTGTAGGATTACAACATGTTACGTATGTCATAGAGTTTAAAATGGAGTGTGCAATAAAATTACTCGTCACTTTTTTGAAAATATAAAACAGAGCTGTGACCAACAAAAAAAATATTTTTAAAGATTATAAACCAGCTAACACTTTTTTTACTACTTCGTACTATAGGTATTTATTATTATGTTCTATAAGCAAACATATTACCCACAACAAAAAAAAAATAACAAGTAAAATAATGTTCAACGCTGTCACTAATATGGACCTTCTCATAAATTCCAGTAAGCCTCATAAGCCTGATGAGAAATGGCCGCTGTACTCTCGTTCGTCGCCTCACTACTACACATACACTGCGGATGGCACTAGCGGACCTGCTGGACCTCGAGGACCTCGAGCCTCCGCCTGCGCTTTTTGGAATGACTTCCTCAACAAGCTCAATGGTATGGAAAACCTTGTTTTGTGTTATATCATTATTTACAATTATAATACACAAACATATATAAGCTCACGCCTGTCTCTCATGGGGGTAGGCAGAGACTATGGAATGCAATAATACATATAAAATCAGTGACAAATTCTTGTTAAATCATCCAACAAATCTGTTAAAATAGGTCTTGATACTCATAATAAATGCTTAGTCACATGAAAACAGCTGAACAATAGTGATGATGATTATAGTTTTATTATGAGAACGCAAAACATAATTCTTATCTGAGATCTGACATAGTCAAACTTTTAAGAATGATCAATAAACAAATAAAAAAATTAGAACTTGTTTTGCATTCTTCCAATGCCTAATTTTAGTGAAACGAACAATATATCTGCGTGATACAATCTGACCTTGAAAGCGATCGATGTAATTACAATATCATTCGCTTCCGAGGAAACGCCACTTTGTTACCACCATTACAAATGGCTCCATCCTTGGCCTACTACTGTCTCAAGGATTTCGTGACACAAATGTCATGTGCATATATTATTATCCCTTTTTTACTTTCCGGGGGAGTCTCCTGGGAAATGAGAGTGGAAAGGGATTTCAACCTCAGTAAAACATTAAACATTGATATACATTTACATTCTTTTGCCAACGATTTCAACTTGTGATGCTCGTAGCATCACATAGACATAGCACACATAGATTCGATAAAAATCCTTTTTTTCTTTAATATTTTTATGTTTGTTTTTCCTGTATGTAAAGAAGTTACATATATTCTCAAAGATTTCAAATTTAAAGATTCTATATTATGTTTTATAATCACTATCGTGAGACATACTAAATTACTTAAAATCGCGGGTAACTCATGTAAATATACTGAGAAAAGCTTTACTAGTATCGAATCACTTCAAAAATTCCATCCAAAGGTTGTCTGGAAGAAATCGCCGCTTGTGATAAGACCGCCCATTGTACTCAAATCACTATTGAAATGTTTTCAATTTTTTTTTGTGTGTGTGCAATAAAGTATGAATAAACCACTGAGTGGCTCACTGTGAGCTGCGCGACGTCACCGTGACCCATGAGGAAGAACCCCTCTGTGGTTCGAAACTAGTAGAACTTTTCTCAGTATATTCACATGAGTAACACGTGATTTTAGTTAATTCTATATTATCTCATACTAAAGTTTGTCCAAACTGACATTAAAATGGAGAAATTATTATTTTCATACCATTTACGTGGTCGCCTGAATACTGCAAGACTACTCAATCTAAGTTGTACTTAAATACCGTGCCATCTCTGACATTTAACGAAGAATTTGTCTTGGCAGAACTATACTTAACCGAAACTTAAATTTAATAGCGTTTGAGTATTATATTTTTTTAAAGGTTGGAAAATCATCAAATGACTTCTCCCTCCTAGATGTGGTAGGAGGGAGTGTCAGACTCTTACTGACAAAAAACGTATTTTGACATTAGTGTACATTTCTGCTTACCAACGACGAGTTTAAAGCTACATTTTATCCCGATAACTTTAAATAATCCCTTGCCACTTATCTTGAAAGGTTACAATCATCGAACAAACAACCAAAGATGCAAGACCCCACTTAACGGCTTAAACCTGTCTGGCAGTAGCAAAATCCCACTTTTATTGCATTAAAACTTTAACTAGCTGTCACTTTGACTTTGTTAAAAGTAGCCCAAGTTTTATTATTCACTTAGACTTAACAATAGACGTCTGCAACTACGTAACTATTAAATTACTGGCTACTTGGTTGTCATTTTGTAGGGACGGGATAAACTGTACTGACGTGTAAAGTAATATACATACAATCTATTGAGAAATTATGTGTAACTATGACTCAAAATTTCACATAGACTAAAATAACTTCCTCACTATAGTAAACAACATAATAATTTTAAGAGTTTCTAATTAAAAATTCCTGTTATAGCCTCTATTTTTGTATTTACTATTTTATTATTCTTTACCTTCTAACCTTTAATTTCTCTTTCCCAGAATTGGAGCACATGCCGTGTGATGGAGCTGTGACAGGGCCATACAGCAGCGTAGCTGGCACCACACTACCCATAGTGCTGCTGACAACGCTTGCCACAACCGTCGCGTTGTAAACGCAGCATATCACCGCTTGAATGATTCAAGCGAATATTTAAGCATTAGGAAAAGAGTAGAAAAAATATTTATACAAACTAGAACAATAACAATGCAAATTAATGTTTTCCTTCACAAATAATTATAAAATATGAGTTTCATTGCGATAATGTCATAAAATCATGTATCAAATTGTCTCAAGAAAATTTATATTTTATACTTATTTGTGAAGATCTAGGCGAGTCAGCAAAAGGCGTTTCGAATTTTAATATTTGCTACTAAAGTACTAGAGGTAATTGTTGTATTAATTAAATATATTTTATCGAAATCTTACATATCACTGGCGTGTGGAACGTGAAACGAAAGACAAGGACAATGGATCGAAAATTATGAAAAAGGAACTTTAAAAAGTGAAATCGTGATGTGAATTTGTACGAGATTATGAAGAAGGACGTTATTTAGAAGATGTTATATTTCTTTTCTTGTATTATAATAATATTGTAGAAAAAGTATGTTGAATGTTAAATAATTTAGTTACAATGTTCCTGTAACTAGTTGTTTCGTATGTTTGATGTTTCATGTATTTAGTTAATGTGTATTCCATGTTATGAGTATGAATATTATTATATAAATGTCGGCGGATTATTATAATACCTATGCGTATTGAATAATTTATTATTATACTTAGAGAAAGTACTTGTACGTCGGCTTTCATTGTTAAAGCGAAGCTTTCACACACGACAGTTTGATAAATCACTATACATATCAAAGTGTGCCTCTGCTTAAATAGCAAAATGACAACTTATTCGTAGCAAAATTTTACGATTTTATATATTTAATGGTAATATAGAAGTCGAGTGTATACTGTGAGATGAATTTTTATCAATATATTTACTACTATTGTATTTAGGACGCTAATATTCGTACCACTTGAGGATCTTATGAACTCCAAATTCTTATGACTTCGAACAGATAATAGTATATTTTGTGAATATTCCCTTCTTTAGTATAGATGCGATATTCTGAACGCTGAGTAGACTTATGTGTACCTTACTTATTGTATTTGATAGGCAAAGCACAAGATACCGTAAATCAATTTAGTACAATTAAGTCACATGATTCTGACACTTGTTTCTTAACACGGTTGAGTACATTTTCTCTTGACACTATCGAAATCGTATACATATCATTAATGTAAACATACATATCAAATATATTTATGAAGAAATTATATACAGGTGTCTATTCGTCTTCACAATAGCAGTGAATTCCGAAACAGTACGTAATTCGTAGCTTAATAACGCTTTAAGTGAAAAAATATCTTATGAACTTAGTAACAATTTTTATACTTTTAACATTATATTTGTACTAAAAAACGTTAGCGGTAATCAAATATTTATACCTATGCGAACGTCAATTACTATCCTTGAACAAATTGGAAGGCGGCGGGAGTATTAAAAGAAAGTGGCCATGCTTACTCAAACCATCAAGAAAAATATTGATTTAGTACTAAATTGTATCTATTTTCACCTTTCCTCATATTTAAAACTGTCCTTGAAACACGGTATTCCCCCTTTTGTGAGCACGAAGTAGTTTTATAATTTAACAACGGACTTTTTATACAAAATTTAACTGTATTCCCTAAAGAATATAGAGTTTATTGTAACATTGGCAAAGATGCACAACACTCGCTTTCTTGTTGAATTAAGCACAATTTGAGAAGTTGTATGGGATAGCTTTAATTAGTAAGAATAAGATGTAAAGTGATCTAAATAAGAAATGTATTATAAGTAGCAATTTCAAATAATGTTAGGATCAGTTTCAACCAAAATGTTAATTTAAATCATGTTGTAATAATGCTTCAACAAATTAATGTAAAACTAAATACAGACATTATATATTTTGTAGTTATATTATTAAATAGTTGATACATTACGTTCACGTTTATTAAAATAAAAGGAATATTGCACTTAATTTTAATACAGTTATCTTTTCGATATTATTCGAAATCTATTTATTATAAGGAATTCTTGTTACTTACTTGTGTCAAACTTATAGTACGTGCAATCAGCCTTGACTATTTTATATAACCCTTTTGCGAACGTTAATTCCACTGTTATATACTTTTGACTACCTATCTGATAGTTTGGTTACAATAAAGAGTGTAATTTTAATTAAAACAAAACCAGCTTGGTGATTTGGTACGCAAGTAACAAAATAAAGATTTATTCAGCTCTCGTTATAGTAAGTCGTATGTACACGAAGCTAAGCGTTGTACAACCACGATTGCTTGACTCAGTAAGTACCGATGATTACTGTGTGGATGTTCTGCAATGAATCAATCTGTTTTTTTACCTGCAAATCAAATTATTTGGCTGATTTAAAAAAACTCAACATATATATTATAATGAACAAAATAAATACATAATAATATTGTATTATGAAACCATTTACTTTATTTTTTTAACGGGCCTAAAACTTGATTTCCACACATATAGATCTATGTTATGGTAAAGGTAGGATTAGTCCTGCATACTATCGCTGTACGAGACGATATCAATACGTACCGTTGGTATATATTTGTTATATAACCTACTCATTAGGCGTAGTATATAGTTTAGTACGTAAGTCTTAGTATTGATGTGATTGCCATTAGAATTTTACGTAACTAACTGGACTATCTTATTTTCTCTCTGCAATTGTGACTATGTAGGCAGATTATCCATACTAATTAATCAAAATATATGCGTAAACAATAGTTTTTAACAATGTATGTATGTAAAACAGCTCTTAAATGTGTAGTCAATTAGAGAAAATCTAAAATGGTATTATTTGTTAGATAAGTTAAATGTTAAATGTTATTTGTGTAAGCTTACATCTGTTATGCAAACGATAATAGTAGTTACTGCTTTACAAATTAGGTGCTAATTTAATGTGTGTATATATGAGTGTGCACATTCGTTTTATCTAAAACTAAATTGCAGATGACGTCGACAATATGTGTTTTATATGTTATATCCAGTGTCGTGTGCTATCAATGCTTTCAGTAGATGAAAAAAAAATAGCTGTATGACTTGATTTCCTTCACAGGTTTATATAATATTACGCTAAAATTACTATCAACATTAGTTATTATTGTAATAGATTTTGAATGTCGATATATTTAGTATATTTTTATTATTAAAGTAAATTCGTTTGTACAGTTGCACGAATATTTATTTCACTGTAGCGGAATAAACTATTTTTGTCCAAATACTGTTACACAATAGTATATTGCTTTTAAATAAGTACTATTTGTTTATTATCTCTATCCAAAAAATTACTCAATAAAATTTAATTAAAATGTTCGTTTTTTATTTAAATATATTTTCCTGCATGTTTACAAAAAAACCTATATAACTAATTGTCCGAAATTAAATAACAAATACCTACAAAAAAATTGACAAAACCTACTTTATGTTAATACGTTCTACCTGTAATATCTAAGGGACAGTAAAAGAAATAGAGGAAGACAAACGAAAAGATGGGAAGATGATATCAGGAACATAGTTGGTCCAGTTTGAACCCTTTAGCTTGCGACAGGGATACCTAGAAATCTTCAGAGAAGGCCTTTGTCGACAAACAAGCTGTTCCACAGAAACACCTAATTGCCGATAGTTACAAAGCAAGTTAGTTATAATAATTAATTTATTAGAAAGTAGGCATATTATGTAGAAATATTTGTGATATCAAATATTTGATCAGTAACAGCAATAAAGACTATTTTATTTATTTATTACCCATAATTCAACTATCTGCGCCATCTATGTTCCGTGAAAAACATCAGGTACAATCTCTCCCTCTACCTGTGTCCCACGAGTATATACTACTACGAAGCTACATTACCACACAAACAGATCAGCAAGTTTTATATCGAGTCAGTAGATGCCGTTTATCGTAACTGTTCCATGAATAATTAACGAACAAACAGATGAAAATTTCAAATAGTAATTTTAACGATTTCTTTACTTTCGCACATAAATCATACCTTACAAAAGTGTACATAATAGGAAATTTCTTTACAGTTATCTTGTAGCAGCCTCATAGCAATGTCGTAGCAGTCGTAGCCGTCCCGTAGTAGTGTCGTAGCAGTATCGTAACGTAGTCGTCGTTGATGCGAAAACAGTGTGTATCAGACTGAGTAAATGTATATTAAGTTTCTAAGGGGTGATAATCATCGAATGACATCTCCCGCCTGGGTGAGGCGGGAGGGAGTGTCAGACTCTTATTGACAAAAACCACCCCGTTCCTACTCCTGCACTTCGAGCCGGAGCCTTGGTAACCCGTTAAGTTCTCCGCGGCTCCGTATCGGCATCAGCTCTATTGGGCCCCATCCGTTGTGGGCGGATAGCTCTTTGAGGCGCACGCAGAACGCGACGAGTTAACCCGTTAAGTTATTCGTGGCTACGTTCTGTCTCAACATTACGAAGGATAAGATTATCGCAGATAGTATTTATTAGAAAATGGGCAGTTAAGTAGACAAGGTTTAGAATCCTTTAATTAGTATACATTGCTTAGTAATATCAACGAAAGTTATTGATTAGAATTTGATATTCGCACTAAAAATCTACAAGGTTTCCAATATAGGATATAATATAGGAAATGTACAAGGGGAATATTACATAGTTGGTGAGAATTATATGAGTGTTTGATGTCCCATTCATAATTTTTATTACATAATATAATATCACGATTTTTTATCCTCGAAGGGGTAGACAGAGGTGCATATTACGGCACTCAATGCCATTGTACAGTGTAACACCCACTTTTTACTATTTATATTATGAGTTTCATGTAATAGGGGGTGAGCCCATTGCCATTTATCGGGCACAATTCTAGATTTCGTGCTACTACAGAGTTAAAAAAAAATTCAACCCGGGAATTAAACCCAAGACTCCTTGCCCGGCAGTGCACTTGGGACCTCGGCCAACGAGGCAGTAATTTTTTTATAAATTCACAGATTTTTTCATACGTATATTTCGAAGAAGCCAAATAAAAGTGTTATTATAGTTTGGCTCAGTATTCACTTATGAATACGAAATTTGTATAGGTTGGGTTTACCCAACCTTTACATATACCTCTATAAAACCAGGGTATGAAAAAATAAAACAATTCAACATGTACATTTATTTATTGACAAATAGCTAGAGCGTTAACATTTAACGCGATCGTCTTAATGCTTGACTAGATACTGATACTGAATTTGGTAATAAACGTTTTTATTTTATTTCGGTAACACACGAACTACGTAACATTACAGAAAAAATATTACCAATTAGTTCCTTAATGCTACATTAAGTTGCGATGGTATCTACTAATATTGTTAACTTATATTTAATCCGACAAGGTTCCAATACTATTAGGGATAAGTTACACTTTGTATTAAATTATAACCATTGTTTACTGATCCCTTTATTCGATGCGAGCGCGCGTCCGAACAGGATCCTACTTAATCTGGTATCGACACTAACTAGTGCAACTTACCTCTAATATAGACAGACTGTTTCAGCTTAAGATGTAAAGTTTGAGCTTAAGATGACAGGCAAGTCCATTACAACTCAAACATTCATCGATTAGAAATTGATTAAGTAATCTATAATCTAGGACTTATATTCTCTAATACAGATAATCTACCGATAAAGTAGTGATATTGTATAGACAATAGGTAACATCAGCGTCTCATCTCTATTCTATCTACATCCTTTCGGTATTTAAAACCGAAAAAAGGAACATAAAAATCAACGGTCAGTTAACAATTTTTCGCGTGCTTTGACGATTGAACTCGTCACAGAACGTCGAATAAATTAAAGGAGGATTCAAACATCGTCACTGAAGCCAAAGTCGAGAGGCTACATTGAAGAGCGCGTGTTTCATTTACAGGTCATTAAGTCCGCACATGAGGTCGGCGTGTTCGATGTCCTCGAGGGGGAGGGGGGCGAAGGCTAGGGTGACAGAGTTGTGGTATCGGCCACTGGACACCAGCCGGACCACAGTGTCCTCGCAAGCGATGAACGCTGGACGCCGAGCTAAAAAATACACTTCGAGTCAACATTTTAACATAAATTTGCATTTACAACCTTTTGCCATTGCAATAAGCCGTTTTCGGCCTTTCCAATGTTTCTGATAGAGGAAAACAAAAACAATGAGGTGAAAGTTGCCAGAAAAGTAATCCGGGTCCCTTTCGTTTAGACTTAATTTGGGAAATTCACGAAACGATTAATCCTTGGACTAATTAGAAAACAGTAAATAAAGCTCCTTTTTGGCTCTAATACCAGAAAAGGTTATTTGGTTAGTTTAAAAAAAATGCACAGAATACTTATATTATTTTATAAAACCATAAAAAATCTAAGAAAATATTACTTTAAGCATATTATTTCAAGTAAAAAAGCGAAAGAATATTTGTGCATTACAGTAAATATAATTGAGCTGTGAAACTGCATTAGCACTAGGGCACGTGTACAATGTTTTCCTTCCTTCTCGGCCCTGCTTCCACGTTCCATTAACGTAATTCATTTAATGACATATTAGAGAGACATCAGACCCAACTTTTTATACTAAAGTATTAAGTAGTTACCATAAGATGTATCTTAATCCAAACAAAACAGTCTTTAACCAACATTAATCAAGATTTCTTCTAAATATTACGTCATCATGTTTGTTCTTTTGTCCTCGTATACAAAAGATAAAAGAACTGTTTCTTTTTATTATTATGTTTTACAAACGACATCTTTATACATCTCTTTGAGACGACCACAAGGGAAAACTACTTCCGTTCAATATTGAAAAGAATAGTCCATATTGTATAGAAAGTAACTAAAGTACTGTAAGTCCCTACGTATATGTACGTATAAAATAATAATAAAAACAATACTTATATTGGCATTTTACACACATTGTATCGCTGTCTGTATTGTTATAAAGCGCACTGCTAAAATCATCAAAAGTACTATAAAACACGCTTATGAAATGTGAAAGACAAAACAAAGACGACAAAAACAATTGATATTATTCGACATGACATGAGAACACATTTTTGATTATCAAACAATCAAAAAATTTTATGTGCCCGTCTATCAGTCAGTTACTTGTTTCGAAGAATAGATTTATAGAGAATAAACTCCATGGCTGTCGTATTTTAATCAATTAGTCAATGAACAAAACAATAGTTACCTTCATTAGAATCGAGTCCACACACACTATCTTGGACCTCCATTTTAGTGTGATCGAGTCCGTTGGCGCCACCAATGTCCACATAATCAGACAGGCCCCGCTTTGTGCACTGTGTAAGAGGAACTCTTGTTAGTCTTTGTAAATTACAACTTGACTGCCTCAGTTGAGTACTGATGCCAAAAGAAAGTAATCACGTCAAGTTCTCCAGTTGATCAATCATTTTTTAAAGTCTTAGTTACCTATAGCTCAGAGTATAATAAGATGGCGTAAGACATATTGATTAGGTATCTACGTCAAGCCCTTAAATTTTCGCACAGGTCGAATTTAATGATACTGTTATACATGCTCTAAAATAGCATAAATACTAAACGGCGTTGTATTGAGCATGCTCAAAAATGTTCCACAATCGAACAGTTGTCGATTCGCAAACATGCCTGAAATAAGCATACTAATATTGAACAACATTCTGACGCACAGGCTACTGAAGAACAAGTGCTCAGTGGAAGCATACTTTCCAGTTTAAAATTAGCATGTGTAACAGTACCTTTACTATACCACTCTGTCAACAAGGCAATTCAACTTTATTTTAAAGATGGCAATTCTTTTTCCGTTGTATAAAAATATAAGTTCCTATGAGCTCCTTAAATAACTGTCTACCTGTTAAAAGTAAAATATTTTTTATAATGCACGTTTTCAGTTTACCATAAGTGAAATATTTAGTATTATGTTATGCGTTATCATTATTAACATTGTTTTTGTTTATACCGACCCAAAATAATCCATGTTCAGCCTAATGAAGTTACATGTAATATGGTTAGTTAAGGGTCGATTCCAATCTGTGGTAGTTTAATGACGCCAATGAGACCGTGTTATACAAATCCCTTTGGATATTAAACGTTTATTTACCTTTGGTTCATATTGGTAAATAAACTTTTGGTATGCTGCCGCTACCACAACTTAGTAGTTATACAAACATCACAACCCGATCCACTTGTGTATAAAGCGGGATATATTATTTTCTGTTCATTGTGAAACACATTTAGCTTCTTATTCATATCGTTATTTATGTTTGTATTGTAACTTTCGTGAGATATGCCAAATAAATTATTAGATA